TTGGTGTGAGTGCATGCGTTCTCGGCGACATGGCATCCCGTCCAAATTTTGGCCTAAACGAGCTTGATTTCGTCTTCTCCACTCTTGTCGTCGGATCTATCATGAATTTCACCTTGATGTATCTTCTAGCACCGACTATGGCATCTTCATCCGCAACTCTCCCTTTCATCTTCTCCAATTCACCAACAAGCCACATGTTCGAGCCCGGCGCCTACAGCCTTGTCAACAGGTTAGGAACTTTCGTTTACAAAGGAACAGTGTTCGCCGCCGTGGGTTTTGCAGCCGGTTTAGTCGGAACTGCTCTGTCAAACGGACTAATCCAGATGAGGAAGAAGATGGATCCGACCTTCGAGTCACCAAACAAAGCTCCACCAACTGTTTTAAACGCCATGACATGGGCGATTCATATGGGTTTAAGCAGCAATTTCAGGTACCAAACTCTGAATGGGATCGAGTTCGTTTTTAGCAAAAGGGATGCCGCCATTGTTGTTCAAGACTTCTGTGGTTGGGTTGAGATTGGTGAACAACGTGCTTGGAGGGATGTCGTTTGTGATTCTGGCAAGGATGACCGGATCACAAAAACGCCGGCGGAGAAACCGAGGAGAAGAAGATGGTGGGTAGCAGTGATGAAGAGGAGTGTTCAGAGGAGAAAGTGAAGTTGTTGAGCAATGAAATTCCTTCCAAGTAATTTTGTTTTACTGTTTTATGTTTATTTAACAAAATAATTAAAAAAAAAAAGATTTAGGGGTTTTGTGATGGTTGATTATATGTGTAATTGTAGTTTTGATGGGTGATTAGAGATTAGTGCTTGAATAAGCTTTTTTGTATTATATATTAATACATTTTATGCCTTCCAACTCTAGTAGCCAAACTAACACACCTCATTTTAAGATATGTTTTATTCATTAAAAGTTGTTGAGAAAATGGGTCGAAAGTCTGAATGAATAAAGCTAAAAAAATATGTTCGTATGTGAAGTTGATGTTACACGTACCAATAATAAGTTACTTGTTTATTCCGTATCTGTTTTGACTCGGCTTTTTAACATATTTGATCTGTCCCTACATCATATTCATACTTGGAACTTGATACCAAAATAGCTATGTGCATCAATGCCAAAGGACAAAAGACAAAAGGGAAATTAGATTAGAGAACATATTGGATATTATAATTGTTTGAATTTGACTAGAACCATCATCATCCAAAATGAATATATTCTTCTCCTAATATACTTCCCATTCCAAAATACAAGTATTATACTATTATGTACATGACCTTACTCCAGATTTCCATGAAGGTCCCTTATCTTTGAAGATTAGTCTCTTTCAACCTTCAATCACCAAGTAATGACATGGACCCACTGTCTTTTCCCTTTAAGTCTTAATTGTTACACTTCATTGCACCAACTTGCATTTAATCAATTTTGGTCCCTGTGATGACAAAACAACAATAATTAATAACAAGGTTTATTTGAAGATACAAGATTGAAAATAATGTTATTATTATATCGGTGGAAAACATTTTTTTAACATTTCATCAACATTCTAACCTTACAATCCCTTTTAAGTGTAACTTTCACATTTTTTAATGCATAATTGTAGGTGTTGTGATTACTATGCAACAAAAGTACAATGTTTTTGACTTTTGATGATAGATAAATTCGTAAGAGTTGGTGTATTCAATAAACAATTTGGCTTTATATACTTGATGACGATTGATGATTAAACCTACCTCACACTTGTGGTGTTTATGGTGTTCCTGGATGTAGTCCGACCAACATCCATATTTTTTCTTGCTTTAGACCCTCCGGTCTTATAATAAAATATAGTCAAATCTCAAATGATTAAGGAATATCATTTTTCCTTGTGTTTGATCGAATAAAAAAAAGAAGTTTCACCATAATTTTTAAGCTCTTCGTCATAAATGCTCGTAGAAAATGATAACATAATGGCCAAATACAAAGAGACAAAATATATTATATAGACCAATGGCTATGATCGAAACTCTAAAATAGAGGTTAAGATGAAGAAAAAAATCAATGCAAAAATACAAAATAATAATAATAATAATAATAATAATAATAATAATAATAATAATAATAAATCCATGAATCCGTTTATGAAGAAACTTTTAGGTTAAGGGTATGGTCATTACATTTATATTAGAAAAATAATGCTACATCATCTTCACCACATCCCTACTACCACATTACAAACCATTGAAATGGTGAGCACTCCACATCACTAATACTTATTAATTTAATTTAATTTTTTATTACATTAAATAAAAAAAATTAATTTTCAACATCAAAAACGTTAAAATTATCATTTAACCCAAATCAACCAAACCCAAAAGAAATTACTCCATGTTACCAAAACCAATAACAATCAAGAAATAAAGTTTAAACATCATTTTTTTTAAACTCGAGTATATAGTAGTCCAAAATTGCTTAGGCCAATTAAATCAAGCTTAATCCATAAAAAAATTTAGCCCAATACAAATATGTCTAACCCACTTAAATTTGACTAAGCCCAACCTTTTGATTATGTACGATTGTGCCTTATTTCGCAATTTTCTTTCTTTCCATCAATGATACAGTCATACACACACGCCTCTTTTTTTTCCCCCTTTTTTATCTTCTTCTTCTTTGTCCGAAAATTTGTAGCTGTCTTGGTTCTAGTTTTGGTTGAAGATATGGTATCATAGGTTTGTTGTTTTCCTTAATCTTTTCGCATTTTGACTGGCCAATCAAAAGCTTCGTCTTTGTCGGTGAAACGCACCAAGCCACACGACACTTACACCCGGTTAGGGGTGTTCAAGCGTACAAACGCTATGTCACATCGATGTTTACGATTGAAAAGCTATCATACCGAGTAACTTTGAATTTGTTGGTTTAACTTAGAGTAGTGAAATAGATATTGCACATGAAATTACCCTCATTTTGATTAGACACTCAATCGATCCTTGTTTAAGAAAAGGAAAATTGACGTATAAAGGTAAATATGTTTCAGAATCATTCGAAAAACACCATTCATGTTTGGTATGTTCATAAAATCATCCAATTAAGGTATTTGTACAACCAAAAAAAAAAAACAACGAACTTCACATTTTGTTCAAATGTTACCTTATGGTATCCGACATTTACCGATAAAAATCAATTAAGGGAAAAAACAAGGAAAAATGACTCATGAGTGTAACTGTGTTTCAAAATCGTTCAAAAAGCACCATCCAAGTTTGGTATATTTAAAAAACATAATCCAAGTAAGGTTTTTGTACAAAAAATACCAACAAACTATATATTTTATTCAAATGTTACATACCGGTGACACATTATCTTACATGTTAAATGATGACTTGACCTAATTATTGGTAACATGACATTATTTGATATATTCTTCATTTATAAATCGATTTAAGGGTTCTTCATGAATGTTTGACTTCTTCTTCTTCTTCTTCTTTGTGATTGCACATTCTTCTATTAAATTGTTGATCTCCAACTCAAGCTCACACGTTTCAAAGACACAAAAGATATTTGATGGTATAAGCACTTGTGGGTGTGTGCATCCTTCTCGAATTTGGACATCAGCAACGAAGACTAACCCTTGAAAAAGTTTGGGGTTTGTCCTAATTGAATGGTAACTTTAACAAGCCTTATCATGTCCTTCTTCTATATATTTTTTTTGGTTATGTGATTCATTATATATATATATATATATATATATATATATATATATATATATATATATATATATATATATATATATATATAAAATGTATCATCCCAAAAAGCATAAGTAAAAATTTCATTTTTAAATCAACCAAAATCCATCAAATCAAACCATCAAAGTATGTTAATGTGAAAATAGTTATCAGAGTAGAAATCCCAAAATCACAAAAAATGCGGAAGCATGGGTGTATGCGCTACAATCAGGCCGAACCTTACCCTTCAAACTAGAAGTACCTGAAACATAAGCTTAAACCGTAAGCACAAAGCTTAGTAAGTTCCCCAAATACCACATACCATACATCAATCATACATATCATACTAAAACGTATAATGGGTCTATTTCACCCCTAAGTCCCTTCCGAATCCATAAGTCCCTTCCGACTCCTTTGGTATCTTTAATCGGTACGGGTCTGTTTAACCCCCTACAACCAAGCATACAATCAAACTAGCAAGAGTCACAAAGACAACAAGCTCATACATACATATCAGTAAATGTCGCAAAGATCACTACTATCCTACAACATACTACAGTGGGTCAACATTGGTGTCTTCGACCCACAAGTACAATGAGGAAACTCACCTCAGTCTGAAGATAGACAAATCATGTAACATCTATTATTCAAATATTCGTTTTAACCCTTAAGTTATGCTCTATTTGCAAAGTTTAGTCCTTGATGGCATTTTCGTAATTTTAGAGTTGCTGGAGTAAGCAGGGCATATAGCCTTGTACGCAGAGCGTACTTCGTATCACCTTAATATGCAGTGCGTATGCTGCTACACGGGCATATGCAACTAGGATGCACACCCTAAATTTTAGGGTTTGGACCTTATTTAAACACATTTATGGCCACATACACCTTCTTATCTTCAGCCCCCTTCCTCATTTCAAAAGGAGTAGAAGGAATAGTATTGAGGTGGTGGTGTTTCACTCAGGGCTTTGGATCCAACATCTTGTCCCCTTTGTGCACCTTGTGGAGGTAAGAAGTTTCAACCTTGATGTAGAAAGCTTATGGGTCTATTTTTAGCTCAAAGTTGTTCCTTTTTTGGTCCTAAACTTGGTCTTTTTTAGTAGAAGGTACTCCAAGGCATTTAAGTTGTTCTTTAGGAGGTCTTTAAGGGTGTTAAGTCATAAAGTTGGTTTTTGATCACTAGTTTCTTTCCATGCAAGTGCTAGCTGGTCTTATTGGGTTAAGAGACTAAGGTTGATGGAGTTAAGGACTTAATACCATGTTAAACCATAAAATTGGAAACGTTATAGTCAAGAACATCTTTTATTGTCCAAATCTGAAGTTTAGACGTAAGTGCTTAAAGGATTAAGCACTTAATAAGAGGGGTGGTGAGCAGCTACATACGATGGGCGTATTGAGGGGTACACTGCACGTACGAGGCCAACTCCTCGATCCTTGGTCAACTGTGAAGTACGCCCTATGTACACGTGGAGTACGCCCGACGTACTGCCATTTAGAGGGACATTGGAAGCGAAGTTGTCCTGAATACCAGAGAGATCTAAGAGATGGTAAAGTCAAAATGTTTGACTCTACTTAAGGTAAGTCCACTGTCTAACTTTATTAAGTTCCTATTTGGAGATTCTTAATACATGATGTAATGTAATTACATTTTGATGTTTTGTAGAATCAAAGGAAGCTTAAAGAAAGAGTAAGTTGATTCTGATCATGAAGAAATGGATTTCAATTACATGGTTCGATGATCAAAATTTTGAGCTGCTACTTAAGAGTTATGATAAATTGCTTAAGAATAGATAACAACATAGTTTTCACTTGTATTTGCATTGTAAGGACAAGTTTTCCACACTTTTATAAATAAAGAAAAAAATTGAGTTTTATCTTATTTTAAATTTCCTTACAATGACATTTGTGAAAAATTGTTGCTTATGTGTTTCCATTGATAGCAATATTGGAAAATGGATTTGA